TCCTCCTCCTCCTCCTCCTCCTCCTCCTCCTCCCCCGACCTTCCCTTGCTCCTCCTCCTCCTCCTCCCCCGACCTTCCCTTGCTCCTCCTTGCTCCCCCACCCCCTGAGCGATGCTGCCTTCACAAATACTCCACGTCCCCCCCATATCTCTCAGCCATCCCCCTCTCTTCCCTGCCCATATATCTCTCTCACTCTCTTCCCCCTACCCCCAGCCTCCAGTCGCCACCACCCCCCACATCTCTCCCTGTAAATATCTCCCTCTTTTCTCCTGCAGAGCAACCCCTTGTTCTGTCGATACACCCTCCTCACTCTCTCTCTCTCTCTCCCATCCCCTTCCAGGTATGTCCTCGGCTACGAGGCCATGAAGCGCATGCAGAATGCCAACATTCTGATTTCGGGCATGCGCGGCCTGGGCCTGGAGATCGCCAAGAATGTCATTCTGGGTGGCGTGAAGACGGTCACAATCCATGACCAGGGCGTGGCCGAATGGGTAGACCTGTCCTCGCAGGTAAGTGTGACTTCGGTCCCTGAGGGAGCCCCCTGTTCTCGGTACTCTCAGGAACGGGCGGCGCCAGGGAGGCCTCTGATGCCAGCTTGGTCACTCTGCGAGGCTTGGCATTCCCCGTTTTAACGGGGCTGACCCCACACCCCTGCTGCTATTTTAGAAAATGACAGGGATCCCTGCTTCGGAATCTGGACAGCTGTCGGTGATCTACAAGGGGAACCCTGGAGACCAGTGTCCCCCTCGGCTAGATTAAGCCCGGCCTTTCAGCGCAGGCCTTATGGGATGTCTGGGGGGTGGTTCTGGTCGTCTCCACTCGCTAGCGACCTCGGCAGTGCCCCCCCCACCCCGGTCGACGATACTGCAGGGGGGCAGCAAAGCGCGGTTCCCTTTTAACAGCGTTTCCCAATTGGACAGCCCAGTGCAAGCTCCATCAGGACCACCAGGTGCCAGTTTGGGCCCTGCTCCACCATTCAGTGCCAGGGCGTGGCACTCCTCGTGCCCTCCCACACCCTTGCCGCCCCGACAGATCAACTATCCATCAGTCTCTGCCTCAAATTTACACAAGCACTCTGCCCCCCTGCCCCCACCGCTCTCTGGCAAGGAGCTCCAAAGAAACTCGACTCACAGAAGAAATTCCTCCTCCTCCTCCCCCTCCTAAATTATCCTCAGATGATGCCGTCTGGTCCTAGACTTTCCACCAGCGCTGACCCTGTCAAGCCGCTTAAATGTTCCCATCAGATTCACCCCCCCCTCATCCTCAACTCCCATGATTAGAGTCCCAGTCCGTTTAGCCGTTGCTCGTAAGACAGTCCCTTGATACTCGGGATCATCCGAGCGAACTTTCTCTGAGCTGTTACCGGTTAGTTGGTACTTAAGGGGCTCCGAACTGCTGGCGGAATTCCAGATGTGGTCTCACCAGCACCTTGGACAGTTACAGTGAGACTTCCCTGCTGTCACGCTGCGACCCTTTTGGAATAAAGGGCTGACATTTCATTAGGGCCCTTCCTGATGTCCTGCTGTACCAGTCCTTTGTGTCTGTCCCCAACTCTTTCCCCCCCCGCCACCTTAAACGTATCAAGATGGTTCACCTCGACCTCCTGCTAAAGGGAGCGAATTCTCCCCATCTCTGGGGCCCGGGGAAGACATTTCTCCTGAAATCCCCGATTGCATTTATTAAGACTGTGTCTTCCCCCTGCCCCATCTCGATAATTTCCAATGGAGGTGTTAAAAGCAAAACCATTACCCCGCCACACCCAACCTTCCCCTGTTTTTTTTCCGCTGCGTTTGATGTACAGCGTGAATGATTTTCAATCTGATGCGTGCCCTCCGCTCCGGCGCTGCTAGGGCTTTATCAGCATTTCTGCTCCCTGACTGGCCGTGCCTGCTCGAGGTGGCTTTGCTCCGTCTGGGTTCGGGCGGGCCAAGAGATGTGGCAGACGGGATGCAGGGTGTGAGCAGCGAGAAGGCGAGGCGGTGCGTTTATTTAAGAGAGCGCGGACGGTGAGCGGCAAGTAGCGAGGAAGGAACCTGATAGCCAAATCGTAAAGGCTCGCCGCACCCCGTTGATCAGACTGCGTTCGTTTCTGGTCTCCTCTGTCGAAGCAGGATGCGCAGGAGCTAACGTTTCCCCCCCTCTCTCCCCATTGTGCCCGCCCTCAGTTTTACCTCCGCGAGGAAGATCTCTGCAAGAACCGAGCTGAGGTATCGCAGCCCAGGCTCGCTGAGCTGAACACCTACGTTCCAGTCACCGCTTACACCGGGGAGCTGACGGAGGAGTACGTGCAGCAGTTCCAGGTACGTCGACCCCCGCCCCAGGCTTGGGACGATGGGTTAGATTTGTTTTTTTTTATTTTAGAGGTGGGGATCAATGCGGTTGGGATCCCTCCGCTGACTGAGCTGCCCATGATAGCCCTGTGAGGTGTGACGTTCCTCGTATGCTGGCTCCTGTCTCTTCTACCCACCCCTGCCACAGCCGCGTCAGCGCGAGCGAGGACCCTCCTCACATCCGGTCGTGACTGCAACTCTACCCCCCC